GTGTGAAGTAGGTGGGCTGTGCCGTGAATGACGTGTAGGACACATACAGGAAGGAAAAACGAAATGAGAGATATAATAAAGCCTTCATGAAACTTGGGTAAGCAAAACAGTGAAATAATTTCTCAAAGATGCAGACAAGCAAAATGATGCCCATTAAACACAAGTGATATGTGATCAAAGAGGGAAGGCCTCGGAAGAACGGGGAGAGGCCAGCGGCACCAAGGTGCTACCGAAGGAAAAACTCTCATGGGCGTTGGGAACTGTCTGACAGCTGATGCTTGGGTAGTGGGGGGTGGGGGTGGGGTGAGACATAACAAACCCTGGTCTGTAGTGTCTGCTGTGGCTGATACTGTGCTAGTGAGCTGGCCGTGTGGCTCCAGAGCAGTCCTCGAGCCCTGCTCTGCTGGCAACATCATGTTCCTGTCACTGCTCCCTGGAGACCATCCTGCAGGTGTGTGTGGGCTGGAAATTCTCAGCAAAGCCAACCTTCACAGAGCCAAGGTAAGACAGAGATCCTCCTTTTCCCTTGAGCTAGGTTCATGAACATCCACTGAACTGAATTTGGTTTTGTTTTGTTTTTTTTTTTGAGACAGTGTTTCTCCGCATAACTGCCTTGGCTGTCCTAGAACTTGCTCTGTAGACCAGGCTGGCCTCGAACTCACAGAGATCTGCCTGCCTCTGCTTCCCGAGTGCATGCACCATCATCACCCAGCTGTTTCTAGTTCCTTGAGAAGTAGATTTCCAAGATGGTGCTGCATGCCTTCAATCCCAGCATTGGGAGGCTGAGGCAGGTGGGTCTCTGTGAGGTCAAGGCAGGCTTTGTTCTTCATAGCAAGCGCCAGTCATTTGAAGCTCAGGATGTCATAGAGAGATCTAATCTCCTCCCTATCTAGGTAGAGCATAGATGACAGGGATTTCAGTTAATAAACTATTCCCTAGAGTCTTCTCTAAGTGGGGTTGTCATTTTGGTAAAAAGACTAGATGAACCTAACAGTCCTAACCTTAAACCACTCATGCCTTGAACACAGCAGCCGTATCCTACAAGCACTGCCCTGGAAGGGCAGGATGGATTTAACTATTTAGGGTCGTCCCCCCACCCCCACCCCATCATTCTATTAGAACAGGATTTTCCAACCTCAGCACTGCTAACATGCTGCTCTGTTTGGACATTATGGGATGTTCAGCATCATCTTCGGGCTCTCATTTCTTGGTGTCCCAAGTCTCCTGTCCATCGTGATGACTAAAGATATAATTATTGCCAAATGCCCCAGGGAAAGTGGGCAAGTTGCCCCAAGTTGAGAACCACTGCATTGGAACGTATCCAGGAGCCGTCTTTGATGGGCTCATTATGTTGGTCACATTTTTACTGGGGGTGTCTTGCCAGGACCACATTAAAAGGCAGCTGTCGTTCAGCTTCAGTAATGAGTGAGTTGTCAGAGCGCCATGAATCATTATGGATTGCTCTTACATTTCTGCTCATTTTCATAAATATGTTCCAGGCCCTCACGCTGGAGGCGACCCCGGAGAGATCAGTCTCCTGCTGCATGCTATGGCCAGGCTCACATAATTTGTAACCAGATGTCAGTTTGATTTTTAGAACACCGTGAAAGTTATTTTATTGTTAATTATGTGTCTTTGTGTGTGGGGGGAATCTGGGTGCCCACAGAAACATTGTATCCTCTGGAACTGGTGTTGCAGGGGATTTTGAGCCACCTGATAGGGGTGCCAGAAACTAAACTCTGGTCTTCCCCAAGAGTAGTAGTACAGGCTTTTGGCTGGTGAGCCCTTAGTTTGATTATTTTTTTTCTTTTTCTTTTCCTTTTTTTTCCCACCTGAGACAGAGTCTCATTACGTAGCTTTGGCTGCTCTGGAACTATGTAGACCAGGCTGGCCTTGAACTCACAAAAATTCATCTGCCTCTGCCTCCTGAGTGCTGGGGTTAAAGGCGTGTATTACTACTACACCTGGCCGATAGTCCGATCTCTTAAGCGGTTGAGCCAGGTACAAATTACTAGTGTCCTTTTGAACGGCTGCCTCTGAGCCAGCGGTGGCTGTGTCCTTCTGGAATCCAGCAGGTAGACAGCCGAGACCAAAGGCTGGCCCAGTTACATACTGAAGCCTTAAAAGGCGTTTCCTGCTCTGCCTTCTCCTGTTCCGATCCTTGTTTGTCCAGCAAGGACTGGGAGATGCAGAGGTAGAGTTCTGGTCACAGCTCACCTGCCAACAGAGTGCACTGTTTTCAGGAAACCTGCTGCTGAATGACATGCTCTCACCATCCAAGGCCTCTCGAGTTTCCTGCTGGCTTTGCAGAGAGAAGCTGAGGAAGAGGGAAGGGAGAGAGGGATAGGAGGAGATGAATAATGGCTATATAATTAATTATAACTTTGTTACATGGAAATTAAAGTGCTGTATTTTTAACTGATGACTCAGAAACACCAAAATAACAAGTAATGAAAACAGAAATTCCATGTTGTACTTTTTGTTTGTTTGTTTGTTTTGTTTTCCGAGACAAGGTTTCTCTGTAGCTTTGGAGTCTGTCCTGGAACTAGTTCTTGTAGACCAGGCTGGCCTCAGACTCACAGAGATCCGCCTGCCTCTGCCTTCCGAGTGCTGGGATTAAAGGCGTGTACCACTAGCACCCGGCCCATGTTGAACTTCTACACAGTATTTATTATTCCTTCCTAAAGAGTAAATTTTTAAAACATTTTAAAACAAAAATTTGAGCTGACCTTGAACTCACAGAAATCTACCTGCCCTGGCTTCCCTGCCTGTGCTTCCCAAGGGCTGGGATTAAATGTGTGCAACACTACACCCAGCTTTGAAACTTTTTAAAAATTAATTCAGGGTGCACCTTAGCATGTGTGGAGGCCAGAGGACGAACTTTGGGAGTTGGGTCTCTCCTTCCACCATGTGAGTCAGAGGGAATGAATTCAGGTCTCCAGGCAGGTGCTTTTACCCATCAAGTCGTCTCACTGGTCCTTGAGTTTAATTTTTTTCTTTTTAATTTTATAATTTATTTATAGTTTTTTTTTAGTACATTAGTATTTTGCCTGCATGTATGTCTGTGTGAGGGTGTTAGATTCCCTGGAACAGGAGCTATAGACAGTTATGAGCTGCCATGTGGGTGCTGGAAATTGAATTTGGGACCTCTTGGAAGAGTAACCAGTGCTTTTAACCCCTGAGCCATCTCTCCAGCCCCTAAAATGAGGGTTTTATTTTTGTTGTTGTTTATTTTTGAGACAGCGTTTCTCTATTGTAGCTTTGGAGCCTGTTCTGGTTTTTTATTATTTATTTATTTTTGTTTTCTTGAGACAGGGTTTCTCTGTAGCTTTAGAGCCTGTTCTGGAACTCGCTCTTGTAGACCAGGATGGCCTCGAACTCAGAGATCTGCCTGCCTCTGCCTCCCAAGTGCTGGGATTAAAGGCCTGTGCCACCACCACATGGCTAAGAGTTTAAATTCTCAAATAAAGACAAATTTTCTTGAGTTCTCCAAAACAAGATGAGCAACTTGGCTCATGGGCCCCAACTTAAGTGCTTTGGACTCTCTGGAAGCTCCCTTCGCTCTCAGACTTCTGCGAGCTCAGAAAGTTGTGGACAAATGAGGGCAGGCTGAGTCTTTGAACAGCTCCTTCCTTAGGCTTCGCTCCTGGGAAGGCACAGAGCAACCTGAACGCACACGCCATAGATGTCATGTCGTGTGCGCGTGTGCCCAGCTCTTTTTTTCTTTTTTGGCTTTTTCAATACAGGTTTTCTCTGTGCAACAGCCCTAGATGTCCTGAACTACCTCTTCTTAGGCCAGGCTGGCCTCACACTCATGATCCACATGCCTCTGCTTTCCGCGTGCTGGGATTAAAGGTGCACATCACCACCGCCTGGCGCTTCTGCTCTTCATTTAGTCTTAGTCCTTTGTGTAACGTTCTTGCAAGGGTTAGAACTAGTCTATTGTCTTAATAAGGGTCAGACAGCAAACACTTTAGGCTTTAAGGTCATAGCAGCTGTCTTATATGTGTGTGTACATATACATACAAGTTTATAAGGTTAAAAATTTTAAAGACTGTATTTTACATGTATGGGTGTTTTATCTCCCTGTGAACCACGTATGTGCCTGGTACCTACAGTGGCTAGAAGAGGACATCGAATCCCCTAGGACTGGAGTTGCAGACCATTGTGAGCTGTCATGTGGGTGCTGGGAACTGAACCTGAGTCGTCTGGAAGAACAGAGCTCTTAAGCCTGAACATTAAAATGTTGAAGCCATTTTAGTTTGGGGGTCATTATGAAGCCAGCGTCTGGCTACATTGCTTTACCTGTGAGCCCTAAATAAACCATTCCAAAGTAAACCAGCTGGAATTGGAGGGGCAACTTCACTCCTCTGGACTGCAGAAGACAAACCGAAAACAACTGAAACTAGTTTAACAGTGGTAAAAGGTTCTCTCCAAGTCTGTCCGATCATAATCTGAAAGGCGATCTTGACTCCGCTAACTTTAGCCACAAAAAGACCTGAACATGGGAAACAGTCCCTAGGCAGCAAATATTTAAGTAAACACTAAGAAGCCAGGAGGGGTGTTACATGTCTATTCTATAGTCCTTGCTCTTGGGAGTTAGAGGCAGAAAGATCAGGAATTCAAGGCCAGCCTAGGTTTTCACAGAATGAAAAAAATAAAACAAGCCAGGCGCAGCAGAGCCTGCCTCTCTATCCTAGTACTCAGGAGGCAGAGACAGTGAATCCCGATTTTGAGGCTACTCAGGGCTATACAGGGAGACCCTGTCTAACAAAATAAAACAAATTCCATAAATAAAACCCACAAAGAAACAAGGCCAATTTATTTGACAATGACTCCTGAGGTAGTTAGTGTGGAAAATGGTAGGCAGGTCGAATGTCCTCTCTGGCCTAGGCTCGTCCTGCACTGGTCTCTGCAGGACAAGGGAGCTCTCAGAGTGCCAGGCCTACAGGAGTGCAGGAGGAAACCCAGATCCCAGCTTCCACAAAATGCTCCAGTGATCCCACAAACGACAGAACTTTATTTCAGTACAAACGCCCTTTGCACCGGCCCCTCTGACAGCAGGAAGCAGCCGTGGGGAGACCTCGCGGTCACTTAGACGTAGTCTTCTTTGGCAGCTTTAAGCTCTTCCACCGTCGCAATAGCACTCGATACTTGTCGCTTTCCGTCTTCTCATCATAGACGGCTTTCAGGAGAATCCGCATCACCACTTCTGTCCCTGTCTCTTTGTTCTCTCCGATGAGGAGATCCAATGTGTCTCCCACCTTCACCTGTGAAGAGAAGGGAAACAGCCTTTACTCCAATTCAAACAGCCCTGCTTTGTTATTGTTTCAGTTTCATGTGCACCGGTGTTTTCCCTGTGTGTTTGTGTTAAGTTGTCAAGACTCCTGGAATTGAGCCAGGCGGTGGTAGCGCACGCCTTTAATCCCAGCACTTGGGAGGCAGAGGCAGGCGGATCTTTGTGAGTTCAAGGCCAGCCTGGTCTACAGAGCGAGTTCCAGGACAGCTAGGGCTACACAGAGAAAGCGTGTCTCAGACAAAAAAAAAAAAAAAAAAAAAAAAAAAAAAGAAAGAAAGAAAGAAGAAAAGAAATCCCTGTAGCTGAGTTGCAGATAATTATTAGCTGCCACATGAATGTCAAGAATTGAACCTAGGTCCTCTGGAAGCGTAGTCAGTGCTCTTAACCACTGAGCCATCTCTCCAGCCCCCGCTCCCCAATTCTGTTTTCATGTGGTGGTTGTCACACAGGAAGAACAAGTGAGAAGAGCCCTGACTTCTCTGACACTGTCACCCTGGGTCTAAATTGCACTGTGGGTAGCCATGAGGGAGCCTCAAGCACAGGGCCTGGACCCAGGCAGCACTTTCCTCTGACAGAGATGACTGGCAGATGACTGGCAGATGGGTGACCGAGGTTGAAGAGGCCACCAGTCAGGGAACTGAAGGAGAACTGAACGGACCAGCCTCTCTGAGGAACACTATAAAACACAGAAGAGTGAGGCACACTCAGCAAGAATGTACAAAGTACTAGACGAACCAGGAAGAATATTGGCACTCATTTCTAACCTAGGTAACCTTCCTAAAATGGGGATGGGACAGTGTGTTAAACATCTGTCACCACGGGGCAATGGTTGGCTACCGACAAGCATTCCTCAGGGAGAGAGGGCAGCGCTGGCCCACAAAGAGGACCACACAGAAAGAGCAAGAGTTGGCCAGAGGGGCTGAGGCCAAGCTACTCTTACCAGAGGACTTGTGACTAGGGCTTGTCAACCCACACTCTGGAGCAGCCATGTTATCTCCAGGGACCAGCAGCAAGGGCTTAGTCTGGCTGGACACGAGGGAAACACCTGGCAGACAGGCAGAGTCCAAGCAGCTCAGAACATTAGAGAATTTGACCAGGAACTCAAGAGGGGCTTAACATAACCTGGCCACCCACTGCTGTTCTGTCAGATATAAGCCAGGACCAACAACTGCTTCTCGTGGCTTAAAGCAACTCCTATGTGGGGGCCACTGCCTCTACTGAAGGGCCTGGGGAGCTGGCTCAGTGGTTAGCAGTGATCAATACTCTGCCACCTTGAACTGCATTTCCAGGGTACCTGACACCCGTGCCTGGCCTCCATGGGTACCAGGCATACACATAGCATACAGACATACATGTAGGCAAAACACCCATTCACATAAAATAAAAATTAATTTAAAAAATCTTTAAAAAGTAAGTATAACAAAACAAACAAGAAACCAAGCCTCCTCTCCCATAAAGAAACAAATACACAGCTTAGAGACTGGCCTATTAAAACTTAAATGTTTTCTGATTTATTTTATGTGTGGGTATTTTGCCTGCATGTCTGTGTGCCATGTGCATGCCTGGTGCCCTTGGAAGTCAGACATGGCATGGATCCCCTTGGGATTGGAGTCACAGGCAGTTGCAAGGCACCACATAATGCAGGTGCTGGGAATTGAGCCCAGGTCCTCTGGAAGAGCAGCAAGTGCTCTTAGTTGCTAAAGCCATCTCTCGAGCCTCTAACTTAGTTTTTGCAAACAGTTCCTCTATTTTGGGGGTGAAGTGCATGTGTATGCCAAAGCCTGTGTGGAGATTAGAGGAGGAGGAAGAAAAGCTCCATGAAAACACAAGGGTGGGTATGCGAAATGGGAAAGGAAGGAGGTGGGAGGCACGAGAGGGCAGTGGGGAGGGAAACGCGCTCCAAATATATCATATGTATGCACGAAAATGCCATAATGAAATACTATGAATAATTAATATGTACTAATAAAAGTGTTTTTAAAAAGGAAAAAGGTGATGGCATTTCTTCCTTCTAGGGCTCAGATGTCTCCTCTTAGCCCTGGGAGGTGAGTTAGGACAGCATCAGTCCCTATCTTGGGTTTCTCAAGCCGCTGTCAGAGCAGGCTTGCACAGCCTGGTGCACTCTGGACAACCTAGTTTGCAGAACACAGAAAACCTGCTCGGTGGCAGGTGATGACTGGGGGAGCAGAACTGCAGCGACAGACAGGCTGGACCCTCAGGGTCTATAGCCAGGCACTGGTTCCACGGAGCAGGCTGGGGAAGCAGGCATGCTTTATTTGGTCCCATCAGAGGCCTGGTCCTCTCAGACACAAAGCAAAACTGGCTGGGATTAGTGGCTGTTTCAAATATCTACATTTCAAATCTCCCCTTAGCTGCAGTTTCTATGACTACCAGGCCTCCTAGTAACAAGGCAGCCGAGTGTTAATATTGGCCTCTGCCTTTCCTGACCCTCAGGAGAAATCTGGAAAGCAGCCGAAAGGACAGAACACCCAAGGCAGAATGAAGCCCAGTAATTAGGCTGTGGTTAACAATACCTCAAAGCCGGAGAAGAACAGGCTATGGAGTTTGCACAAGGCTCCAGCAGAGGGGTGTTCAGAAGCTAATGCAGCAGAGAAGGCAGTTCAGCTACAGTCAAGACAGCAGCAGAGGGGTGGAGAAGGGCCCATCTGGAGCACTGGCTTTTGTGCAGGTCACTGAACAATGGCTGACAGATGATTCTGCACCTGCCAGCCCAAGGTTATCAGAGCTCTTTGGCCCTGACTAGGAGTTGAGACCAGAATGGAAGAAGCTGCCCTTCCTTCTGTGCATGGAGGCAGCAGCAGGGACAGGGACTGGAGGAGCCTCAAGGGTCACCAATGCAAACAGATGACACACTCAGCTCACTGTTCTACATCCCAGGGCAACGCGAGGGAGCAGATCCTGCCTAACAGGCTTTGGGAATGTGAAAGAAAGAAAAATAAACCCCCTCTTCCCTCACTACTAACAGGTTATGTTTCTAACCATGACCTTGGGTTTTAAACTCCCACCCCCCAAGAGACAGGTTTCAGGTTGGCCTCAAACCCGCTCTGTAGAGGGGGATGACCTTGAAGTTCTGACCCTTCTGTTGATGGGGTCAAAGTTTATATGACATTGAGGGGTTGAACCATTCTATCAACCAAGCTGCATACAGCCTGAGTGCTGCTTTCTAGCTTTTAATTAAAGACTTTTATATCTCCTTTAGTGAGTTTTCCTAAGTTATATAATCTCATGGTTAAAAAGCAAGGTCAAACATTCTTTAATGCCAGTACCCAGGAGGCAGAGGCAGGCTGATCTACAGAGTGAGTTTCAAGTCAGCCCGGGCGACATAGTGAGACTTTGTTTCAATCAATCAAACACTCATTATTTATATCTCAGAGTGAGGGTGGGATGGCTCAGCACTTGCAGCAAGGCCTGCTGACCTGAGTTTGATCCCTGAACCAACAAGGAGGAAGAAAGAATCCACTCCTTCAAGTTGTCCTCCACCTCCACACCCAAACTGTGACATTCATGAACCCACATTCCCCACTCCCACAACAAAATACATGTTTTAAATACAGAAAATAGAAGACATGAAGAAAATGAAAAATGAATGCAGGCGAGCTGGAGAGCTGGCTCAGCAGCCAGGAGCACTTGTTGCTCTCACAGAACTATGAGTTTGGTTCCCAGGACTCACACAGTGGCTCACAACCTTTGTTCTGGGAGACCTGATACTTTCTTCTGGCCTTTGTGGGCACCAGGCACATACATCATGAATATACATGTATGCAGACAAAACATATATACATAAATCTAAAAAGCATTTAATTTTCAAAAAAAATAAAAAGCATGAAGAAAATGAATAGGGGGCTGGAGAGACCCTGGTTTGGTTACTCATCTGCAACTTCAATTCCAGGGGACACTATGACCTCCACAGGAACTGCATGCATATGCATACAAGCAAAATACACACACACAAAGAATTCCATAATAATCTATTCTAAGTACTAGTAATTTTTAATTAAGAATATATGTAACATAGTGGGTGGTGGCGGCGCATACCTTTAATACTAGCACTCGGGAGGCAGGGGCAGGTGGATCTCTGAGAGCTGGAGGCCAGCCTGGGCTACAGAGTGAGTTCCAGGACAGTTAGGGCTGTTACAGAGAGAAACTCCATCTCAAAAAACAAACAAACAAAAAAAAACCATATGTAGTATCTATTAACATGCATGCGTACATTGTTTGTTTTGTTGAGATGTAGTTTTGGCTAGCCTGGAACTAGGCGAGTAGACTTAACTGGCTGAATCTGTAGCGGTCTTCCTGATTCTGCCTTCCATGGTGTGTATCACAGCGTCTATCGCTACACACACACAGTGTGTATATGCATGTATGAATATATTTTGGAGAGAGGGTCTCACATAGCACAATCTGGCCTATAACTCCTGATCCTTTCTCCATTTCCCATGTGCTGGTATACACATAATATAACAAAGACTATTTTTAATAGAATTTTACTTTTACATATGTGTGTGTATCAGACAAACAGAGAGATCTGTTGTTGTTAGAAAGCAGATATTGAAGTACATTCTCTCATGAATCATTTTTGTTTGGTTTTTTATTATGACATAATGTCTCAGTGTGTACCCCTGGCTGCCCTGGGACTCATGTTCTGGCCCCAGCCAGTGCTGGTACATCAAGGAAGCATCGTGACCCTGACTTGACCTCTTTCAATTAACAGTATCAACATGAACGTGTCAGAACTACAGAACATCATTTTGCCAGCTGCCCTTCAGAGAGCAGAGCTCCAACAAGAACTGCTGAAGTGAACAGAATGTCCACCTGCTCGGGCAGCACCTTCTCAGTCAGATTTTTCTTTGTAATCTACCTCCATGATTCCATGGGGCTAACATTAGCTTATTCCAATTCTTCTGACTCATAAGGTCACGAAGACTGAGGAGAGACAGTGGCCCGTAGACCATTCCCACCAGCGTGACCAGGACGGAAGACCTCAGAGAGGGCACGAGGGCCCAAGGGGAAACTGGGGACAGCACTGACTAGCAGGGCTGTCATTACGGGCTGCATGGCTCACCGTTCTGCTCTTCTTCCATAATTTTTCTCCATTCAGTCTGAGTTCACCTTTGTAGAATGCATCTTCTACTTTGCTATTAAAAAGAAAAAAAGATTTGAAATGTAAATAAATTCAACAACCACACAGCTTTGAGGAAAACACCAGCTGTGAGGATCCACTCAGTGAGTCCCCACAGGATCCACTCAGTGAGTCCCCACAAAACAAAAACCCCTGCATTTCCAGTGGAAACTGTGAGATGCCAAGTGGAAGTGGGCACCATCTACACACATCCCCAACAGGGAGCCCAAAGGGCATTTCTGACGACGAGAGGCCCCGTGCACTCAGGCAGGAGACTGCTGCATGGGGCCTTGTGGGCCATTTCAGAAGTGACTGCATGGCAGCAGCTCAGTGAGTCACAGTGGTCAGAATGAGTGGGTCCTTCCTGTCCTCGGCTTCCTGCTCTGCACGGGGACAGAAAAACAGGCACCACCACATACAGAGACACCATTAAGGAGCCTCCTGTGTGCACTGAGGTTGAGCAATTCCAATCTGGCAGCCAGTCACTTCAGTCTGAATCTCTGGTGACAGACTAGACCAGACCCAGACACAAACAAAGCCTCCCTTCTGATGACCTGACTCAGGATGACTGACATCAGGGCTCAGCTCAATAAAAGCAATAGCCATTGCTCTCTTTTACATTCCATGAATTTAAACAAAGTGAAACACACAATTAACTATTCCATAAAGATACAAATTACATAAGGGATTTTTTTTTTCCTGAGACAGGTAGCTGGCTATCCTGGAACTTGCTCTGTGACCAGGCTAGCCTTGAACTTAGAGACTGCCTGTGTCTGTCTTCCAAGTACTGGGATTAAAGGTGTGCGCAAATCTTGAGTTTGTGCCTGTCACAATTCTTCCCTTGTATGCACACCATCCATGACTGCTAAAGGAATGAGCAAGCAGTGAGGATACAACCAGAACATAACATCAGCAGAGAGAATAATTATGCTAGAGAAATCTCAAATTCCCACTTCTGTACACTGCACATGACTCAGGTTTACAACAGCTAAACTGCATGGGGTGCCTGCTTCACACCAGGCCCAGCCAGTGTCTACACAGATTTTTTAATCCTGTTGGCTTGTCCCTGCAGTCCTGCACTTGGAGGCTAAAGCAGGTGGATTTCAGCGAGGCTGAGGCTGTCAGGAACTAAACTGTAAGTTCTAGGCAGCATGAGCTATTGAGTGATTCTGTGGCTTTAAAAGGTGAAAGGGGACCTGTGAGATGAAACTCAGCAGCTGGAAGCCACAGAGCTGCAAGGACAGAACCAGTCTTACAAATGAGTCTTCTGGCAACGTGTGACACTACACGCACACCACTGCCTGTCATCCAAACATTGCATAAAATTTTTTAAAAAGGAACAACAACAACAAAATTCCTAACATGCTTAAGGTCACATACTAGTAGTCTGGCCCAAGAACCCACTCTTTGTTTTTTTTTGTTTCTTGTTTTTGTTGTGCTTTTTATTTGAGCCAGGATTTCTCAGAGCAGCTCTGAGGTTGGTCTCGAACTCACAGAGATCACCCGTAGTACCGTAGTGTGTAGCTTGGCTGCTTCCAACTCTGTGTCCTCACTTAGCCTCAGGTGCTCGGATTGCAGGCCTGACCCAGCACTCTAGCTCAAGACACTGTATCCTTTTGTGTGTAAGAGAGAAGGCGAGCCACAGAGAGTCTGTGGAAGGTCAGGACGCTCTTGGGATCAGGGGCTAGAGCTCAGATGGGCAGTCTATATGCACGCACCTTTACCCACTGAGCCATCTTACTGGCCAGAAACTGTATTCTTTTTTTTTTTTTTTAATTAATGTGTGTACGTGTATGTGTGAATGCTGTGGGCACATGTGTACCATGGCACATATGTGGAGGTCTGTGGACAATCTGTGGGAGTCAGCTTTTTCCTTAGACTCTGTGGATCCCAGGGATTGAACTCAGGTCATCAAGTTAACAAGGACACTGACCTGCTGAGCTAACACGCTAGCCCCCAAAGCCTGTGTTCTTAACCACCACCTCCTACTCCTCCCACTGATTCTGGAATGTACTTTGTCATACTGTAGGATATGGGAACTCAGTGGGGGTTTGCAGCTATGCATCTCTAATAAAATGATGTCTTTTAGGATGCACTGTGGAGAAAAAAGAAGAAATATGTCATTAAGTCAATGACTCAGAGCACACCAATTGTGTTATGATCGAGGAAACACGGCACAAAGGATTTAAAGGTGTCAGGTGACTTCTTCGGGAGTCAGTCCTTTCATCTGTAAAGTGACGTATGGAATAGGTTACCTTTCACATCTATGGTTATTATTCCCCATAGCAGAGGCCGAGTTAGTGTGGCATGACACTAACCAGACGGGTGGTCCATCATACTCACTTTCTCCCAATATCAAGGCCTGTCTTCAGGATGACATCGTACCGGAAAGACTGGACCACCTTCTCCAGGTCTTTGTGGTCCTTGACTACGCCAGGGTCATCCTCGCGCTCCTCTTCCTGCTCACTGCTCTCGGGGTGATAGTTCTCCTCATCCGAGTCCTCTTCTGCATCTTTCTGCAGAGTCTTTCTAGTGGATTTTTTGGAGCTTATATTGCTTTTGAGTCGTATGGAAAATGGAAAAGTACATTTTGGAGCTACTAACAGCTCTGGGAGTCGCAGAGGGACAATGCTACGGAAAAGTGTTTTATAATTTGATGCGTTTAACTTGGAACTAGAAAAATATAAGTATCGATTCCAGGAAGCACAGAGTTTGTGTGGAGAGGTTCCTTGAAGCACACCCCAGAGTCCGAGCCAGGCGTCCGGCTTTCTCAGAGCACCAGTGAGCAGTCGGAGCCCAGCTACAGCCATGCTGCACGCGCCCTGGAACGGAAGACAGCTGAGCTGAGCACGCAAGCCCTGGACGACTAGTGCCACGCTTCCCGTGCCCTGAGCAAGGCCCATCGGTCCACTGGGGCTGAGGGCCAAGCACATTTGGGGTTTTAAAGACCATGCTTTGCTAATAAGAAAAAGGATTTCACAAGCTTAAATGCATGCATACAATACGTGACCAACTCTGAAAAAAGTAAAACAGCCATCACTGGCTCTTACCTCTACCTCAGTCCAAAATGGCGATCCTGCCTCCAGGAATCTCAGAATGAGACCGTAACTGAGAGCTGTTTCCTGTCTTATATTTCTCTCTAGTGCTGGGATTAAAGGCATGCACCACTACTGCCTGGTTTCTATGACAAACTAGTGTGGCTACTGGGATTAAAGATGTGTGTATCATTGCTGCCTGGTCTGGAAGGCTGGTCAGTGTGGCTGTTGTGCTCTCTGATCCTCAGGCGAGCTTTATTTATGAAAATACAAATGAAATCACTACAGAACTCTTAGTCAGGAAATCACATTGCAAGTCTGAGATGGCTTCCTTATCTCAAGGCTATACTTCAGGACTCATTTCTTTGATAATGAGCCTCACGATTTTCCTTCCTAATTTCCATTACTTATACAGCTAATAACAATAACTGTCTGTGTGGCTCACAAACAACACAGGTGGCTACTACTTCCAACCTACAGGTAAGTGAGAAGGAAGAACAAGCAAACAGCACAGGCTCAACCTCCATTCTTCTTCTTCTTCTTCTTTTAAAGATTTATTTATTTATTTAATGTACACTAGTGCTTTGTGTGAGGGTGTCAGATCCCCTAGAACAGGAGTTACAGACAGTTGTAAGCTGCCATGTGGGTGCTGGGAATTGAACCCCGGTCCTCTCGAAGAGCAGCCAGTGCTGAGTCATCTCTCCAACCCTTCAACTACCATTCTTGGAGCCCCAATCGAAATCCCAAATGACAAGAAGCAGGTGGAATTTCAGGGATTGTAGGGCTTCTGGTTTTCGATGAACTGCTGAAGGAACTGCTAAGCAGAACCAGTCAAGTCTTCTTGTTGTTGTCTTTTAATTTTCTTTTTTAGATTTACTTGTTTCACGTGTTTGAGTGTTTTGCCTGCATGTATGTATGTGTATCATGTGTGTGCCTAGTACCCTCAGTAGTCAGAAGAGGGTGTTGGATCTCCTGGAACTGGAGTTATAGATGGTTGTGAGCTACCATGTGCATGCTGGGAACCTACTATCCTGGTCTTCTACAAGATCAAAATGTGGTTCAGTGGTTGAGAACACTTATAATTCTTATAGAGTGTAGGTTCGATTCCCACACCCCCATGATGGCTCACTACCATAGGCACCAGGTATCAACTGGTGCAGAGATACACATGTAGGCAAAACAGACATCAGTCATATACATACAATGTGAGATCAACAACTGAACCATTGTCCACTCTTATTTTGTTTGTTTGAGACAGGGTCTCATACTATAGCCTCAGCTGGTCTGAAACTCACTATGCAGCCCATATTTTCCTCCAGCTGATGAGTAATCCTCCTGCCTCAACCCCAAAATGCTGAGATTACAGACATGGGTCAGCATGTCTGGCAAGAAACTATAGTTCAGTGTATTCCAATTTAACAGAAACCCACCCAAATAAAGATTTTTAATTTTATAGAATTAGGATAAAGAAAGACAACAGCTAGCCAGGTGGTGGTGGCGCACATCTTTAATCCCAGCACTCTGGAGGCAGAGATAGGCAAACTCTGTGAGTTTGAGGCCAGCCTGGTCTAGAGAGTGAGTACCAATATAGGCTCCAAAGCTACACAGAGAAACCCTGTCTCAAAAAGCCAGGAAAAAGAAAAAAAGAAGAAGAAGAAGAAGAAGTAGAGCAGCATATTTCTATGCCGGGGATGTGGTCCAGTTGTAGATAGCTTGCCTACCAGGCACATGGCTCTGTTTGATCCCAGCATTGCTCCGTGGTCACTCCAACGTGAGCAAAAAACGTAGCAGGCATGGCAGGGGAGGAACTGCCATCCAACTTAGAAGAAATCCCCAGGGGCACCTAGGCCAGGGAGAAGGCAGTCTTGGGGTCAATCCCTGGGTATCTACATCCGTCATAAATCCCAGTGAGATGGCTCAGTAGTTAGGGGTGCTTACCACCAAGTCAGCCCGAGCTGAACCCCCAGAGCCCGTGTTGGCAGGGCAGAACTGACTCCTGCAGACTGTCCTCTGGCCCCACGTGCACTTGTGAGCAAAAATACTAAGGAATAAACATTGAAAAGCCCTTGCTTCACAGCACGCTCCTGTATCCTTTCAGGATGTCTGGAAGGGTTTCTTTCTGTACCCATCACTGGCAGCATTTTTAGAGGTTTATTTACTTTGCTTTTATTTGTATAGGTGTTGTATGTGTTTGTGCCCTATGTGCACGTGGAGCCCACAGAGGCCATAAGAGGTTGTTGCTGGAATGACTGTGAGCCGCCATGTGGGTGCTGGGAATCGATCCCAGATCCTCTGGAAGAGCAGCCAGTGTTCTTATCTGCTGAGCTATCTCTCCAACCCCACAGGAAGCATATTTACCAACACTAGGAAAGCTTCTAGCTGAACATATCAACTTGCTCATGTGTAAATCTAACAAATGTTTCAAAGCATTAAGCCAAATGGTACCTTTAGTAGCTACTCACTCTCTGTCCGTGATCTCCTTCACCTTCCAGCAGGCAAACATCCCAAGTGATGGAAATCTAAATAAAAATCATAAAATTGAAGGAAGGCATTATTCTAGTTTTTGCTAGAGATGCTGACCATTTGTAGATGCTAACAGTGAGCAGGCCCCAAGGAAGGAACCTGGGAACACAGAACTGATCAGGAGAGTCCTGAGTAAGGACTGGGGTGTCTGAAAAGGTGACTGGCCAGGTTCTGGAGCTCTTTCTTTCTTTTTTTTCTTTTCTTCTTTCTTTCTTTTTTTTTTTTTTTCATGACAGATTTTCTCTGTGTAGCTTTGGCTGTTTGGCTGTCCTAGAAATAGCTCTTGTAGACCAGGCTAGCCTCAAACTCACAGAGATTTGCCTGCCTCTGCCTCCCAAATGCTGGGATTAAAGGCGTATGCCACTACAGCCCAGCTCTGGAGCTCCTCTTAAAGCAGTGAATGTTGGGTTCTTACATCCCATTAAAGAAACAGGACGCTGGGTAAGGTGGAATGTGTACCCGTAATTCAGCACTTTGGAAACTGAGAATCTCGGGAGCTCAAGGTCAGCCAGGGATACAAAAACACAAAGAAAACCAAACATACAAACAAACAGAAATCCAAACCAAAAACAAAAAAAACCAACTGGAGTAGATGATGGCACATGCTAATAATCCCAGCACGTAAAGGAGACAAAGCCGGGACAAGCCAGGACGACTGTACTTCTGGGGCCAGGCTGGTCTCCACTGCAAGTTCTAGGCTAACTGGGTCTACACAGGAGAACCTATCTCAAACAAAGTAAACAGACAAAAGGATTCTAGGGGCTGTCTCTTGTTCTACTAACCTAGGAATCTGAGTCCAAACCCCCCACCCATGTAAAAGGCCAGACACATCTGTGTGCACCTGCAATCCCCAAGCTTTGGGAAGCAAAGACATTAGCTTACTAATCAGCCAGGCAGCCTAGTCATAATTCAGTTCAGTGAGGAGCTACTCTCCAGACAATGAGGTAGAGAGGAAGACACTGGATGGTCTGACGTAGCTTCCACCTCTCTCTTTCTCTCTCTCACATACACACACACACACACACACACACACACACACACTCCTAAAAAAGGATTCTATAACTAAGAAGTCTCTTTTCCTCTGGTACAGTCCCTGAGTGTCCCAACTCCTCTGCCATCCCTTGCCACTTATCCCTTTCCAGACTCTGGTAGCACCAATTTCACATACTCTAGGCTGCTTCAAATTCACCACGTGGCTACCCTTGAGATTTTGATCCTCCTGCCTCAGCCTGTAGAGTACGGGAATTACAGACAAGGATTACTATACCTGGCTTCAGTGGCTTTAAATTCTTCCAGATTCCAGACTTATACACATGAGCAGAATTAGTATAAAAGACCTATGACTGCTATTGACAGGAAGGCCGGCTGCCAAGCTTGGTCCTCACCATTATCTGGGAACTTAAACTTCAGCAGAGTTCCCTGAATCCCCCAAACTTGGAGGAGTGACTCGCTGTACTGAAGCTGTAATCTGATTTATGCTGAGCCCTAATTTCTCTTCTGGAAGCCCGCCTCGTTGTTGGAGGAATCACGCTGTGATGCCACTACAGATCTGTAGATACCATCATGCCCGGTTTCCTTCACTCTGCCCTGGGCCTCGCCCCTTCCTTCCTTTGCTTCACAAACCCTTGCTGTGATAAACACAGCCACAGGTATGGTCACGTGCTGAGGCCCAGGCCTCTTCGTTGTTAATCAGCAGATACAATGTCCAGTTGCATGACTGTCATGACCACATGGGTGACCGAAGGCACTCACCGGTAGTCTAGGGCCAACCCCTGGCCTCAGACCTGCTCCGCCCAGAGCCTTCTCTATCTCTGTTAGAGTGACAGCAGGCTTCTGGAGGATTAAAACAAGCTGGCAGTTTTTTTTTTTCAAGGCCAGTTGTCCTTCACCTCAAGGGGGTGGGGGTGGGGGAGCTGGGGGTGGGGGAGCTGGGGGTGGTTACCTGTGCTCCTGCCTGAGGCTGCCACACGCTGGGATGACAAGCACATCAGGCCACTTCCAGCTTCCAGTGACTTTCCCCCTCCTTGCTTTGAGACGTGGTCTCAGGTAGCTCAGACTGGTCTTGAATGCTTCTGCTTCCACCTCCCAGTGCCGGCTGGGACTATATGGTTGGACAGTTTTGTTATCACGTCAACTACTGTTGAATGTGTATGTGGTGTGTTTAAGTCAGGGTGTGAGCACAGCACGGCATGCATGTGGTGGCCAGAGGACATCTCTCAGGAGTCAGGACTCTTTCCACCTTACTTCTCAGGAAGGGTCTCTCTGGTTCCCACCATCTTGTGTACTCCAGGCCAATAATTCTCTTGTCTTTCATCTTGGCAGCAAGATGTCTGGGACTACAGACACACACCACATACCTGGCCTTTCTGCGTGGGTTCCAGGGAGTGACCAAGTCTTCAGGCTTGGCACAAAGTTCAGGCCAGCATGAACATACCAACATAAAAGACTGTCTACAAAACCAAATTCCTCAAAAACATTCCAGAGAAAAGACTCTTCTGGGCCTGGTGGGGTGGGAAGGTGTGAAGTTCGACACTTGCCTAGACCAATGAGTGTGTTCATGGCCAGCCTAGGTAACTTAATGAGAACCTGTCTCAAAAATCAAGAGAATTTAGTAAGGTGTTACTGTAAACCTGGTCAAAAAGCCCGTGGTTAGGAAGGCCCCGGGAGGAACCTGTTGTTTTGCTACATTGATACGGTATCAAACTGCCTTCTAAATACTTACATTTATACCCACAAATGAGTTAGAAAAGTTGTGCAGTGGGTAGCCATCAAAGCGTGGAGACTAAGTGCCTGTTATCTGCTTAGCCCTAAATGAGACTTTTCCTTTTTGTTCGGTTTTTCAAGGCTTCTCTGTGTAGCTTTCGAGCCTGTTCTGGAACTCGCTCTATAGACCAGGTTGGCCTCAAACTCACGGAGATCCATCTGCCTCTGTCCCCTAAGTGCTGGGATTAAAGGTGTGCACCACCACCACTGGGCCCTAAATGAGACATTTATATCACACTCCCTACACAAAACCAAAAGAAAACCTAAAGGATGATAAACATCTCCTGTCTTATAAAGGTCTAGTGGCTCACACCAGAACTACACAGTGGGGCCCTGTCTTGAAAAAAACAGAAACAATCACACACACTCACACACACACCTCCTGTCTTACTCACTTAGCTTCAGTTCCTGCCACACTTACACCGTTATCTTCACGCGCCTCACATACACAGGACTATTCTTGTGTGCTTTCCATGGCTACAGCTGAATTATAGAACCAGGGCAATTTATGAACCGGGCGGTGGTGATGCACACCTTTAATCCTAGCACTCGGAAGGCAGAGGCAGGCGGATCTCTGTGAGTTCGAGGCCAGCCTGGTCTACAAGAGCTGGTTCCAGGACAGGCTCCAAAGCTACAGAAAAACCTCAGGGGAGTAAAAACAAAAACAAAGCAAACCAACAATAAAGATTTACCTCTCGGCTCCAGAGCCTGGGAAGTTCAAGGTCAACAGCATCTACTCCCCGCCCCCCACCTTTCCCTCCTGCACACTTCAGATGTGGACACCTGGGGAAAGGCCTTCTTGCTGCACCACAGGGTGAAAGCCAGAGAGGGAAGAAAGTGTAAGCAGGCCAGCTAGAGCTTGTTTTCATACCAGAGCCATGTACTCCGTGATGACCCACTAGTCCATGAACAGACCTGCCCAAGAACCCCCATGACCCTGCTCTTCCTGATGTCACTGCACCAAATTCCCAACACATGAAACTTAGGGGACACATTCTAGCCAAACTAGGGGTCCTTGTTCCACATGGGTCTAGAACACTGTTGCATAGATAAGTGCTAGATGACCTCACCTTCAAGTCTAAACTCAAATATTCCCTCAGTGGGGCCTACCCATTCACTTCTAGCCAACCAATCCCTTTAACACTTACCCCACCCCCAGAGCTTATCACACATAATTTACTGGACGTTATTTGTTTGCGTGTGCTTACACTCCCATCATTAGAATTCCTCTTTATCCCGATTTTATTTTCCTTCACTTTATCTCAAGTGCACCGAATAGTGTCTAGTAGTTAAAAACTCGTGGAATCTGAGAACGGTGGTGCAAACCTGTATTTCAAACGTCTGGGGAAGAGGCGAGAGGCCTGGGGTTTCAAGGACATCTCCACTACACAAAGTGGACCGTCTTCAAAAAACAAACAAACCAAGCCTTTAGGATAACAGAACTGCGGCATTAGAACGAGCTCAGAAAAGAACAGAGTGTATCTGAACTGACACTAGATCTCCAAAAGTTTTAGATACCTAAAGTGGCCCTGGCTGCATGAGTTCTCCAGAAAGAGTTAGTAGGAAAAGTAACCTGGCAGGAGTCCGTCTTACAGGGTCTCCTTGGCGGCGGTTTGCACTAGAGATGACTCGGGGAGAAAGGTTTGTTTCGGGTTCGATTTTTATGAAGCTATAGAATGTGCTAACGAAGGCTAAGACTGCCGGGAGAGTAGTGTTCAGGATGCAAAGGCAACGCTGCCCTTGACTGCACGATGATGAGACCGGATCCGTGTTCCCCAGCTTGTCATCGCTTGGTGTGACCGGGAGCCTGGCTTCCAGACGGGAAGGTCTGCTGCAGTTACGAAAACCTTCTTTTCTGGGGACATCGGAGGCTGACTTCTAGACGAGGACGGGTTCCCCTGGAACTCTCCCATCCCGCACCTCCCCAGATTCCCCCAAGGTCAAAGGAAACTGGACACCCACGCCGCCGGCCCCGGGTCAGTGTCTACAGCCAGTTGCGGCCAAGCGCCGGGACGCACAGCCTGGGTCAGCTCAATTCCCAAGGTCCCGGGTTTCGGGAGGCGTCCCAAGGCAAGCCCGACCCTAAGGAACCGGACGTGCTCGCAGATTCGACCGCAGCGCTGCAGGGCAGAGGCCGGTCGCCGGCGCGTGACCCGCCGAGGGGCTGGGCTGGCGAGCCAGTAGGGGCGCACTCACCTGCGGAGTCCGCTGGTCCCTCCCCGGACCGCGCCGACCGCAAGCCTGGGGGCCACCTCTGTCCCTGCCCCGCCTCTTCCGCCCAAGCCCACGCCGCAAGAGTGGACCCCGACTCGCGTGCGAGCTTAGTGGCGCGGTTACAGCGACCCCTGCCGTACGCGGCGCCTTGGATGACCGCGCTGTCGAACTGTGGGAACGTGTGGCATGGGGGAGGGGGGGGGATGAGGAGTGGGGGCGTGGGAGGCCCATCGCAGGTCGGCTGAGCTCGGCAGCCAATTCCAGAAGAACTTGGTTTGAAAGTCGAAGTTCTTTCTCTGGAGTAGTCAAAGCCTTGGACGTTTTTGTGAATTACAGATGTTGTCTCCAGAAAACTGTACACAACATCCCAGAATTTGGAGTATTGGCGTTTAGAACATCTCTTCCAATCCCAACCCAGGGTGCGGGTGTACCCCTGTAATTCTAGCACTCGGAGATGAAGGTAGGAAGGCCAGGGGTTCAAGGTTTTTTCTGGGTACAATACTAAAAAGTTTGAGGCCGGGCTGAGCTACGAAGAAATAAGTATAAATAGGAATACAACACCTGATGTTCCTGGGGAAGTGGAGGCAGGAAGAAGGTCTTACTGCTGGGCCTGCCATGGCGACATGACAACTTGGAGGCCAGTCTGGGTTACCTGAAACTCTGTCTCAGCAAATCTCTCCTCTGATTACAAAGTGGTTTATGGTTGTGTTTGTGCAAGAGAAAATAGCAATCATAAAGTGTTCCAAATGCTGTAATGATACATTTACACTGTTGACATTGCGAGGGATACACAGTTGCATTCACTTGTTGCCTGCCAAAATGTAGGACCTCAGGATTGAACTCAGGTGTTTTAAGTTTGTTAGCAGAGGCCCAGTTCACCAACCCTTGGGTGAAATGTAAAAAGTGTGTGTGTGTGTGTGTGTGTGTGTGTGTGTGTGTGTGTGTGTGTGGTGTGGTGTGTCAGAGGACAACCTGCAGGAGTCATTTTCTCCACCTGTGGGTCCCAAGGTCAAACTTGTGTTGCCAGGCTTTCTAGCAAGCACCTTTACACATTGAACCATCTCACCAGGGTGAAATCTTTTTTAAAATGGTAAATAGAGAGCCTAGAGAGATGACCTAACAGTTAGAAGCACTGACTGCTGTTCCAGAGGATGTGGATTTGATTCCCAGCACTCCATGGGGACTCACAACCATCTGTAACTCCAGTTCCAGAAGATCAATCGCCCTTCTGGCTTTTGAAGGCACCAGGCATTCAAGAGGCTCACAAATACATATACAAGCAAAATACCCATACACAAAATGTGAGCTGTTTGAATATACTTTTATTTTCCTATTATTTTTGCTGTTATTGTTTTGTTTTGTTTCAAGACAGAGCTTCTCTGTCCTGGCTGTCTTGGAACTCACCCTGGAAACTCTGAGATCCGCCTGCCTCTGTCTCCCTAGTGCTGGGGTTAAAGGCAAGTGCCATCATCACCCAGCTTTTTTTTATTAATTCTTTAGGTATTGCCAAAGCATTTGATCCTAACAACTAGGTATTCTGCAGAAAGAAAGAAAAAAACAGTAAATTTCAACCAGGCAGTGGTGACATAGGCAGAGACAGGTGGATCTTTGTGAGTTTGAGGCCAGCTTGGTCTTCAGAGCGAGTTCCAGGATAGGCTCCAAAGCTACAGAAAAATCCTGTCTTGAAAAACAAAACAAACAAACAAAAGGTCAAGAAAATGTCAACATCCAGGTCAGGGAAGCTGCAGTTGGTAGTTCTCCGCACACCGTGCTTTTAGCTGAAGGTCAGTCCGCTGTCAACATTTGTACTTGATCAAGGATCCCAACACTTTTACCATTCCCATGGGTCTGAAATGTTGGGGTCCTTGATGTGGCAATGCTTACGTCAACAATATACATTCACTGACGACTTCATCTGCTTCCCACAGAGTGTTGTGGTGTACACCTATAACCTGTGATCCCACAGCTTGGGAAGCAGAAGCAGGAGGATAGGAGGTTCAAGGTCATCCTAGTAAAAAGAGAGTTCCAGGCAGTCAGGCTGCGTGAGACTCTCTTCTAAAAATGACTAAACAGGACAGGAGGTATGCTTTAGCAGTGAAGACCACATACTACTCTTGCAGAGGACTGGAGTTTGGCTCCCATCATACATGTAGGGCAGCTCACAACTGTAACTCCAGCTCCAAGGGATCCGACTGGCCTCTGCGGGCACTGCACACACACACACACACACACACACACACACACATGCACACACATACACCATACATACATCCTTAAGATATGGTGTGAAGCTGGGCAGTGGTGGCGCACGACTTTAATCCCAGCACTCAAAGGCAGAGTCAGGCAGATCTCTGTGAGTTCAAGGCCAACTTGGTCTACAAGAGCTAGTTCCAGGACAGGCCCCAAAGCTACAGAGAACCTTTGTCTCGAGAAACAAAACAAAACGACAGCAACAAAAAAGATATGGGGTGAGTGAGGACCTTGGCAGGTCGAGTGAGTGTTAGGAATATTTCTTAAATATTAGCTCCCTGCCGACGCAAAAATTCTCAATCAAGCCAAATTAAGAAATATCCAGGTTTAATGGGAGATCTGTGCTCCCGGGTAGCTCCGAGGGGAAACCGGGAAGCCGCAATAAACGTGACCCCCAGGAGGAAGAAAGGGAGACCACGTGTTCCTCTTTTTGGGGGATCATTTAAATACCCTGGGGGGGGAGTAGTCCTGACCCCACCCCCAGGGAGGAGTCAGGGCCTGGCCTGCTGGGATTTGGAGTCCAGACCAGGCCTGGGGACTGGAATAGATGCAAGGGGCAAGGGCCTATGCTCCCAACTTGACAGTGAGGACTACAGCGGGTGACAGAATACGCCATGCAGCGAGAGCTTGAATATGGAGTTTCTCTGAGATAAAGGGAATGAGAAGGGAAGAGAACACGGGAGAGACAGAGAGAGAAAGGGAAGGAGGAGAGGAAGAGAGAAGCCAAACACTTGCCTTGGTGGGAACAGAGAGATCATGAGTGGGTGGAGCTTGTCTCTTAAGGTACCTTTGCACCTGTGTATAAATTAGGACTTACTTGCCATACACAGAGGGGGGACTGTGCCAGGTTCTCAAGGGGCACCAAGATACTAATATACATAGTTTTGGGCTTTTTACTTTTGATTTTGTGTGTGTGTGTGTGTGTGTGTGTGTGTGTGTGTTTTCAAAACAGCACTTCTTTGCATAGAATTGGCTGTCCTTAGACCAGGCTGGCATTTATCTCATAGAGATCTATCTGCTTCTACCTCACAAGTGCTGATATCAAAGGCTTGGGCCACCACTGCCTATTGTAGCCACACATTGGGGCAACAGCTGCTGGGGTCCAGCCTAGCCGGGTTTGTACTTCCAGGGTAGAGGCGTGTGGATTAGAAATGCTAGGTAGAATAAACAAAGAAACAAAAGAAATAGAGAGACATAGGATAGTACCGGGAGGGCAATCCAGTGAAGGCTGAATAAGCCTGTGTTTACTTCTTAGGACCTTAAAAAACCCGCAATCCAAAAAGGGGGAAGAAAGCAAAAGATTTTTTTTGTCCTGTTACAAGGAACAAAGTGATTACCATCTTAATACTTAAAACACCAAGTAACCACACCCTAGGTCAAGATACCCTGTTAGTAGCCACACCTTAAGTCAAGCCTCTTGTCAGAGCCCTGAAGGATGGAGAATAAGGCTTTAAACTCTGCTATCTTCAGTCAAGGTGGCGCTGACCCACTTCTGTGGACCCCCACAACCAGGCTATTTACATAGTTTTTAAATAAATCTTTTAAAATGAATAAATACCTTTCTGTGTCAATATCATTCCCTTGAACATGGTAAATGCTCCCAAGACCCACCAGACTTTATGCAAGAAATGTGTCAAGCGCCAGCCCTACGAAGTGGCACAGTACAGGACAAGGATTCTTTGTATGTCCAGGTAAAAAGGCCTTCTGACAGGAAACAGTCCTGTGCTGGGCAGACTAAGTCTGTTTTCCCAAAAAGGCTAAAAGTACAACAAAGGCTGTGTGGAGACTCGAGCCTGGTGAGTCCCGCTGCGGCTCAGAGAAGGCTGCCTAGCCAGACGTGAGAGCATTGAAGATGATTTTGTTATGAAGACAATAGTCATGAGCTTGTACTTAAAAAGAAATAAATAGACATGAAAATAAATACAAACAAATTGAAATTTCTTAGTATATGTCTTTCAGAAAGTTATTTTCCTTCTAATTCTATTCAAAATTCAAAATTATTACTGAGGATTGGGGATGTAGTAGAGTGCCTGTAATGGGTTAAGTAAAAGTATGTAATGGATTAAGTGAGAATGCTGTGGATCCCCGAGGGGCTCCGTGGCAGAAATGCTGCAGGTCCCCAAGTGGCAGCAGTGGGCAGCGGGTCCCGAGAGCAGCCAGTCCCAGGCAGGGATGACACAGTTCCCAAGTGGCTGCAGTAGGCCACAAGGGGTCCCACGAGAAGAGACAGACAGATGGGCAAGCTACGAGACCATGCTGCAGGTCTCCAAAGGTGGCTGGTCCCAGGCAGGGAGAGACAGAGACATGGATAGGCACACCATGCAGAGTGAGGTTGGATATTTATTTAGTGGGTTATGGAGGGGAAAGGGGGAAGGGAGAAAAGCAGAGAGAGAGAGAGAGAGAGAGAGAAACTGAAGGGGGAAGGGGAGAAGTGGGGAGAGACAGAAGCTGCCTCTTCAACAGGGAGATGGAAAAGAGAGACTCAGGCTGCAAGCAGGAAGGAAGATCTTCCTGCCTCAGTGGATGGGGAGGGGGAGGGGTGAGGCTTGTCTCTTAAAGGGACAGGACAGATCATTATAGTGCTTGCTTAGTGTGCAAGAGACCCTGTGTTCATACTCTAGGATCCCCCTCCCTGAGAAAGTCAAGTGTGGTGGTGCTTGCCTTTAGCTCCAGCACTGGGGAGGCAAGACAGTAGATGTCTGGGGATCAAGGCCAGGCTATATAGAGAGTTTCAGACTAAGACCCTGTCTAAAACTAAAAGAAAAATCTATTAAATTAGAAAGTAAAGCTGGGACATAGCCCAGTGACTAAGAACTTACTGTATTTGTGGTAGGCCCTGAGTTTGAACCCTGGGGGGTGTGATATGTATATAAATGTATGTGGTGTGTGTGTGTGTGCGTGTGTGTGTGTGTATGTGTGTGTGTGTGTGTGTGTGTGTGTGTGTGAGAGAGAGAGAGAGAGAGAGAGAGAGAGAGAATATCAATATTTTAGATTAAAAAAAATTTGTTGTTGTTTTTCAAGACAGGATTTCTCTGTGTATCTTTGGAGCCTGTACTATAACTTGCTCTGTAGACCTGGCATGTCTCAAACTCACAGAGATCAGCCTGCCTCTGCCTCCCAAGTGCTGGGATTAAAGGCATGCACCACAACTGCCTGGCTATATCAAAATTCTTTAAAAAATTCCCCTCCCTACTTATTGAGACAGAGTCTTGTTGAGAGCTTGACTGCTCTCAAATTTCTGGGCTCAAATGATCTTCCTTTTCAGCCTTCTTAGTGCTGGGGGACAATAGGCAGGTAGTGTGGTTTGGGTTATTTATTAACTTATTTTAGTGCATGTGTTTTTTTAAAAATACCTATTTATTTTTTTATTTATTATATATACAGTATTCTCAGTATTCTGTCTGCATGTATGCCTGCAGGCCAGAAGAGGGCACCAGATCTCACTACAGATGGCTGTGAGCCATTATGTGGTTGCTGGGAATTGAACTCAGGACGTTTGGAAGAGCAAGCAGTGCTCTTAACCACTGTGTGTCTTTCTGCATGTATGTCTTTGTCTAAATAGGGTGTCAGAGCCCCTGGAACTGCAGTTATAGATGGTTGTGAGTCACCATGTGGGTGCTGGGAATTGAACCCAGGTCCTCTGGAAGAGCAGCCAGTGCTCTTAAACACTGGGCCATCTCTCTAGCCCCAGTTTAGATTTTTAATGTGTCTCAAAGGCCTATTGTTGTGCCTGAGTCCAAAGACCGCCAAGAAGACCACCTGGAACCACACTTTCAGATGCAAAAGCAAGGTTTTGTTTATTAAGTATGCATGGGTCCTCTGCCTCACAGTCTGACACAGCAGAAGGACCCCATTTACTATTGTAAGGGGTTTATAGAGACAAAAACCGCAAAGCAATCACAAAGTTACAGTCTCAAAATACAAAATTACTTATCCTGTATCACCATTGGCTAAAGATGAGGTAAAGGTCAGCTGTTAGTTCCTGATAGGCTGTTAGTATCTAAGGGGGACAGCAACAGCCCCCCCCTCCAGTTACATCCTCCAGACTTCTGCTGACCCTGTGCTAACCCCAGGGGCTGCTTAAAATATCACCCAGCTGATAGGGGAAGTTGGGTGGGAGAAATGGGCTGCAGGCAGTAACTTTATGTAATTTAGGTTTCTCCATTAGCTAATACTTCCCCTAAAGAGGGGTCCTATGGCTTTCATCTTATCCTGGAGGCTGGGGTGGAGGTTGGTCTTCAGCTCCTCTGCAGCCTCCAGCTTATCCTGGGGGCTGGGGTTTAGTCCAAGGTCCCAAAAGAGCACAGCACAGAAATGGAATCTTTTCTGGCCTTTCATTCCCCACTAGGAGTTCTTTGTTTGTTTGTTTTTGTTTGTTTTGTGTTGTCCCCCTCCCCACAGGGTTTCTCTGTAGCTTTCGAGCCTGGTCCTGGAACTAGCTCTTGTAGATCAGGCTGGCCTCAAACTCACAGAGCTCCGCCTGCCTCTGCCTCCGGAGTGCTGGGATTAAAGGTGTGCGCCACCACCACTGGCTCCCCCTAGGAGTTCTAAGTGGACTTCAATACTGAACTCTAGTTCCTCAAGCTGATGAGAATAACTTGCAAATTCTATTTCATCTTCATTGGGAATGGAATAATAGGCAGAACAATATACATTAGCATTAGTATGCTTAACCAAAAGCTGAATGGTATTAAGCCTTTATTTTACAAAGTGTGCCAGTCTGTCGATTATACGTGGGCCAACAGTCAAAATAAGCAACAAAACCAATAAGGGTTCCATAATAGCAAAAATATGGGTAGTTAACCAAGGAGAGCCATTAAACCAGGATTCAAACCATCATTGTAAAAAGTCTAATTCTTTTTTCTGCTTCGTCGATCCTTCTCTAACTTTGGCCAAATTGCCTCTTACAGTTCCTGAATGGTTAGTGTAAAAACAGAATTTCTCTCCTAAAACTGTAGAGTCTTCCTATGTAAGAGTTTTCTTTTGATTTAGCATCTCAAAAAGGGATTATAGGACAATATATTCTTTTAACTGCTTCCAGCTTTGTCAAGAGCTAACAGGTGAAATGCTAGTCAGAAACAAAGAGGAAATTCAGGCAATGGGGTGTTTATCAGGAGCATCTGGTTTGTGAACTCTGTTGAAGAGCCAGGGAGCATTCACATTGGCTAGACTGGTCCATATCAGTTTTTAGCAAGTCCAGGGTCCATAGTCATTTGGTAGTCAGCAATTGATGCTTGGTTGTGTCTGTCAACCGAGGGGAAACCTGTTGAGACAAGTGTCAGACTGTGAGGCGGAGGACCCGTGCTAGCCCCTATTTAATACATGAAACCCTGCTTTTGCATTCGGAAGTGTGGCTCTGTGGTGGTCTTCTTGGGGGTCCTTGGGCTCAGGCACAACATTATGAATGAAAGGCTTGGTGGTATTGGAAGTTTGAGGAACCTTTGGAAGTTAAAGCCAGAGGCCATAGATATAGCTCAGTGATAAAACATATTCAGTCTGTACAAAGCCCTGGGTACACATATGCATACACACCTTTTTTTTTTTGGTTTTTTAAGACAGGGTTTCTCTGTGTTGCTTTGGAGCCTGTCCTGGAACTAGCTCTTATAGATCAGACTGGCCTCAAACTCACAGAGATCCATCTGCGTCTGCCTCCCGAGTGCTGGGATTAAAGGCGTGCGCCACCACTGCCAGGGCGATCAGCCAGCTTTTAAAGTTAAATTTCGAAGCAGGCCTGTAGTCCCAGCAATTGAGAGGTACAGGAAGGTCAGGAGGTTTTTTTTTCTTTGTTTTGTAAAGATTCATTTATTTATTATATATAGTGTTCTGCCTGCAGGCCAGAAGAGGGCACCAGATCTCATTACTGATAGCTGTGAGCCACCATGTGGTTGCTGGGAATTGAACTCAGGACCTTTGGAACAGCAAACAGTGCTCTTAATCGCTGAGCCAACTCTCCAGCCCCAAGGGACAGGAGTTTAAGGTCATCTTTTGGTACATATCAAGTTTGAGACCATCTTGGTTTATATAGGCCATGTCTCAAGAAAGAAATAAGGGCTGGTAAAATGTCTCAGTGAGTAAAGGTGCAAACCTGAAGACCTGAGCTCAATTCCCTGGGCCCCACCTAAAGGTGGACAGGGAAAACTGACCCCACGAAGTATTCTAGTCACCACACATAAAATAACCCCCACATAAAATAATAAATAAAATTTAAATTTTGAAAGAATCAGTTGTAGTTTGAAAATTTAATTAACACCCATCCCCTTTTGTTGGAAGGTGTCCTGTTCCATGATTTTTCTGCCTTATTTCCTTGAGACAAAGTCTCTGGACTGTGGAGCCTTGTCAACTGAGCCACAACCTTGGCCCCTAATTAGATATTAGTGCGCAGTTTCATGTAAGCAAAGTGACTTCATTCTGGCATTGGAAGCATATATTGCTTCCAGTGAGAAGAACTGGGATCAGGTTTCAGGAATGACACAATAGATTGGAAGACTGTCAGCAGCAAGGGGCAGGTGTGCAGACCGCCTCCCTGAGTCTCGACAACTTCCAGAGTCCTCCAGTAGAAACAAAGTGAAGGAAGAAAACAGTGAATGACTCAATGGGGAGCTGGAATCCCTAACAGGAGAAGCAGTCAACTTCATTTCCCTTTTCTCTCTGTCACCTTTAGCCTTGCCACAATCTCAAGCTATGTCCATCTTTGACTGTGGCATTGGTACAACAACTGTGCCAATCTCCCCAATATTTGTCGTCAGGGGCTATTATCTTAAGGGCATGGAGCAAGGGCTACGGAAAAAAGCTTCCCTGAGTAGTGTCAGTCACAAAATGGGGCCTCAGAACCCCCAAGACATGGTGTCAGGCTCGGGGCAGAGCCACACTTGCCTGAGACTGACGGCAGCCTGGATTGACCTATTGACATCTGGAAGTTGTCTTGTTACAAAGGTGTGACCTCAGAGCAGGTGAAATCTTTGCCTCAAGAGTATTTGTCAAGTCCGGTGGTGGTGTGGTGCTGCACACCTTTAATCCTAGCACTTGGGAGGCAGAGACAGGCGGATAGCTGTGAGTTCAAGGCCAGCCAGATCTACAGAGCTAGTTCCAGGATAGCCAAGAAGCCCTGTCTCCTGGTGGGTGGGGGATGGCCAAGAGGCAAAAGATTAGCAATTAGAGTCTCCCCCCGCCAATTACCTACTTGTCACAGAACACCATGTGAGCACCAGCATTTTTCCTTCCTAGCCTTCTTCCTCCTTGTGAGTACATATATATGTATGCATGTTTGTGGGTGTGGTACATGTGTGTGGTGGATGTACATGTGTGTACAGGTATATACACCTGTACATGTATGCAGTGGCCAGAGGAGGTCACTTCCTTCTTCCTCTGACATAGGGTCTCTCAATGAGCCTGGAGCTAAGTTGGAGGCCAACAAGTCCCTCCTGTACCCTCCTCACCCTCCTGGCCCCACCAGTACTGGGATTACAAGTGCACTTGATCACGCTTTGCTTTTGCTTTTTACATGGTTTCTGGAGATTTGAACTGAGGTCTTCATACATGTACAGCAAGTGCGCTCATCTGTTGAGCCAGCTTCCTAGCCTTTTTTCCAGTTTTTCGAGCCAGGGTCTCTCTCTATAACAACTCTGACTGTCCTGGAACTTGCTTCCTAGATCAGGCTGGCCTCCAACTCACAAAGATCCACCTGCTTCTGCCTCCCGAGTGCTGGGATTAAAGGCATGCGCCACCACCGCCCAGCATTCAGCTACCTTTTAAAAATTTTATTTTTAATTATGTATATATAAGTAGGTGGGTATGTGCACTTGAGTGCAAATTTCTTCAGAGGTCAAAGGAGCCATATCCCCCAAAGCTGGAGTTATAGTGAGCCATCCAATGTGGATTCTGTGAAGTGAGTTTTGTGTGCAGGCCAAAGTTATATTTTAGGTTTTAATCAATGTGCCTGTCCTGGCTGGTTTTGTGTGTCAACTTGACACAAGCTGAATCATCACAAAGGAAGGAAACTCAGTTGAAAAAAATTCCTTCTTGAGATCCAGTTTGTAAGGCATTTTCTCATTTAGTGATCAGTGTGGGAGGGCCCAGCCCATGGCAGGTGGTGCCATCCTTGGGCTGGTGGTCCTGGTTCCAAAATAAGGTGGGCTGAGCAAGCCATGAGAAGTAAACAGTAAGCAGCTCCTGTCCATGGCATCTGCATCAGTTCCAGCCTCCGGGATTCTGTCCTGTTTTGAATTTCTGTCCTGACTTTCTTCAGTGCTGTGGAATATTCCTTTACACTATGTGAATATATGTCACTGTGATTGGTTTACTAAACAAGCTGCCTGGCCAATAGCTGAACAGGATAAAGTTAAGTGGGAAAGTCAAACTAAGAATGATGGGGAGAAGGGCAGAGTCAAGGGAGCCTTCATCCAGTCACTGAGCAAGGAAGTGTAGAAAATGAGGTAACGAGCCATGAGCCATGTATCAAAACATAAATAGAAATATGGGTTAATTTTTTTCTTTTTTTTTGAGACAGAGTTTCTCTGTGACTTTGGAGAATGTCCTGGAACCAGCTCCTGTAGACCAGACTGGCCCCAAACTCACAGAGATCCGCCTGCCTATGGGTTAATTTAAATATGGGTTAATTTAAATGTAAGAGTTAGCTAGTAATACGCCTGAGCTATTTGACTGAGCATGTATAAATAATATTAAGTCTCTATGTGGTAATTTGGAAGCAGCTGCCAGGATGGGGAGTGGGTGGTCAGTACAGGAAAACTGCGTCCTACCCTTTAGTGATGAACAGCAATGCTGAAGTATACGCCCAATAATCCCTTTCCTCCCCAACTTGCTTTTTGGTCATGGTGTTTCATCAAAGCAGTAGAAACCCTAAGACAGTGCCTAACAAGTCCATAAAACAAAAATGTCTCTAACCTGTAAGCCTCTTGAAGTGCTTATGGAAGCCACATCTTTTCCCTCCCCTAAAAAAGCGTTTGACCCAGATACACTGGATGTGCGTAATCACATGTAGGAAGAAGGTACATAGGCAGGAAATACATCAGGATGTATGCTTGCCCCTGATTGGATGTAGGCGGGAGGCATGCAGGTAGGAAGTATATATGGATATAAGCCTGCCCCTGATTGGACCCGGTAGAAAAGGCATAGCCCAAGCCTCTGTAAAATTTGATTCTTATCATTTTTCTGGGAATCCCAGAAGGGACCTGACCAGAGTCCATCATCCTGGTCAGTATTTAATTAAAGCTTTCTTCAAATTTGACTCAAACATTATGGAGCTGGTTGTCTTAGGGTTTCTTTTGCTGTGAAGAGACACCACGACCACAGCAACTTTTATAAAGGAAAACATTCAATTGGCTGGCTTACAGTTTCAGAGGTTTAGTCCACTATCATCATGGCAGGACATGGTGGCGTGCAGGCAGACATGGTGCTGGAGTAGCTGAGAGTTCTACATCTTGGTCTACAAACAGCAGAAAGAGTATGCATGCTGAGCATAGTTTGAGCATATATGATACCTCGAAGACACCCTTCCTTCAACAACAAGGCCACACCTCCTCGTAGTGCTAGTCCCTATCAAATACACGAGTCCAAGGGGCCTTACCTATTCAAACCACCACTCTGGTCTTTCTCTTGTGATTTTCAGAATTAACATGCTGGTACTTTGGAAGTGTAGTACATGCTCTTAACTGCTGAGCCATCTCTCCAGGTCCCTAGAAATCTTTCTTATATATCCCAGGCTCACTTACCTAGGGATGGAGTCATCTACAGTGGGCTGTGAAGAGTTCAGGAATAGCATATGGAAATAAGGTGTCCGGTCCAGGAATGAAGAAATATAAAGTTGTAAGCCCAAACACATTTTGCGAGGAAAAAGAAAATAAAGCTGGCAACCATTAACCTTTTACAAACACTTTGTGCCTTAAGAGCAGACATCCTGGCAGCCACTGTGTACAGAGGTAAACTTTTAACAGTTGTCTCCTGCCTCCCAGCTTCCCAGCTAGGCAGGTACAGCGGACAAAGTTTAGCTCCTAACTAGTGCTCTATGGGTCCCTCTGTTTGTATTCCCTTAATTTTTAACTGTTCCCTTGTGTGACTCTACGCTCTGCCTTGCATTCTTTCAGGGACGGTGGAAAGTGACTGTGTCAGCCACAGGCTTTCGCAAACACTCCTAAAGTTTATATCCTAATGTCCTATAACCAAAAGCTGTAAAACTTAAAATGTAATGTGGCTTTAAGCCTGACTTCAAGGCTGTAAAAGCTCTTTTACCCACAGCTGGTGCTTTATTTTACTACAAGAGGAAGCCTCCCAACCAGCTCCCATTGTCACAGCTACAGAAGCCTGATCTTTGGCTGTGGTCACAGCCTTATGTGCCCACATGTTTTTTGTTTTTTGTTTTTTTCCCCCCAGAATAAAGTTTGCTTCTGGTTTAATAGACTTTGGTGGTCTTTCCCCCATCATTGCATGATGTCTGTACCCAACAGGATGGGCCCTCCTATTTCCTATATCAATTATCAATCAAGAAATTGCCCCCACAGATATGCCCACAGGCCAATCTGATGGAGATAATCCCTAATTGAGGTTCCCTGTTCCCATGTGATCAGTCATTACACATAATGGTTGGTGTCTTAGTTACTGTTCTATTGCTGTGAAGATCAAGGTAACGTTCTTTTATTATTATTATTATTATTATTATTATTATTATTATTATTATTATTATTATGTATTCAGTGTTCTGTCTGTATGTAGTCCTGCAGGCCAGGAGGGCACCAGATCTCATTACAGATGGTTGTGAGCCACCAAGTGGTTGCTGGGAATTAAACTCAGCACCTCTGGAAGAGAGCTATCCGTGCTCTTAACCACTGAGCCATCCCTCCAGCCCTGACCAAGGCAATTTGGTTGGGTACTTGCTTACAGTTTCAGAGGGTTAATCTGTGGTCATCATAGTGGGAAGCAAGACAGCAGGAAGGCAGGAGAAGTAGCTGAGAATTTACATCTTTTTTGTTGTTGTTGGTTAGTTGGTTGGTTTTGTTTTATTTTTGTTTTTCAAGACAGAGTTTTTCTGTGTAGCCCTGGCTGTCCTAGAGCTCAGAGATTTGCCTGCTTCTGCTTCTGGAGTTCTGGGATTGCCACGACTGCTGGGTAGGTGCTTACCTCTTATAAAAATTGGAGGTGGAGAAACTGGGCTTCCTATGGGCATTTGACACCTTCCAAGCCTTGTTGAACCCTGGAGTCCAATCACCAGGGTGGAGTTGCCCCGAGAGTCCACTCACACCTCAGTTGATGCAATAGTAAGAGGAATTTTTATTCTGACTCCAGAGGTCCTTCAGCAGGTGAAGGACCTCGAAGAATTATTACAGACTTCTTTTAAAGAGAAAAACCACAGAACTAACAAAAAAAGGGAGTGCAGAATCCAAAGGAAGTGCAGTTGTTTGTCGACTCTTGTGACTAGCTCAATGGTCAGCTAACTATGATGGGTCGTTGCTATGGCGATTGCTGGGTTGGTTGAACAAGGAAAAACATCTGCAGGTCATTTTACCCCAGTTCCAGGGCCTAAGTCTATTGAGGAAAAACTACAAAAGGGATAGAAGATTCGGGGAGAAAGTACCCAAAGCTTCTAGTGCATGCATGGGTGATTATCAGGTTTCTGGTTCCTGGAAGCGGGGGGAGGGGGCAGTTTAGCTGACGTGTCCCAGCCAGAGTCTTTCAGCCTACCCTCTCCTCCAACAAGGTCACACCTTCTCCTACAAGACCACACTTATGACAATAAAGTCACACCTCGGGCTGGAGAGATGGCTCAGAGGTTAAGAGCACTGACTGTTCTTCCAGAGGTCCTGAGTTCAATCCCCAGCAGCCATATGGTGGCTCGCAGCCATCTATAATAAGATTTGGTGCCCTCTTATGGCATGCAAGCATACATGGAAGGAATGTTGTATACATAATAAATAAATTAATCTTTAAAAAAAACAAAGTCACACCTCCTAATCCTTCTTAAAGAGTTCCACCAATTAGGGCCCAAGCATTCATATCTTTAAGCCCATGAGGGCCATTTTCACTCAAACTACCACAGTGGGGGAAACAGACAGCTTGTCACATTGTGCTCATTGTCATGGAAGCCCCCTCCACTGGGGAGTTGCCTTGGTCTGGACTCCACCTCCATGAAAGCCTGCCAAGCACTGATCCCCTTCTCAGGGAGGGTCAGGTCCACTCCCACAGGCTATTTAGGCTGCTGCCCAAAAAAGGAACATGTGGCCTCAGTTTTTGTGTGGTCTCCCCCTTTCTCTCTTTTCCTTGCCATGCTCCTGGCCACCTGGGAGCACTGCATTAAACATGGACTCCTTTTATTTGGTCTGACTGGAATTATTTGCCTTGGCAGAGAGGCTCATCTTAGGAATTATATATACCTAATATATGGAGGTCTTCACCAAGGGGGAGGGTCTGTTTCTCCCAGCTACATATTGGAAAGCTCCCTTCCTGCATGCTCTCCACCAGGCTAAGATGGGCTTTGACTCAGTGAGTCCCCTTTTGGAGTACATGGCCAGTAGGGCTAGAGGACCCACTCACACTTATTCTTTGTTGATTTTTGGACTTTTTGACAAAGTTGCGGCTGCACCGAAAACCCGACCCATGTGGCTAAGCCAAGCTTAGCTGAGATGAGATCTGGGTGTTTGGAGATGTCTGCCACTCATTTCTCATGCACCCTGTTTTAACTCAAGAGTTGTCCCAGTGGACACACTATGATAGACTTGAGTACCAATAGGCATGGGCTTCTAGATGGGTCTTTGAAATTCCAAGCCAATTAGTCAAATGCCCTTGGGCAGCCTTTTACAAAAATTCTTTTAAATTGGGGCTATCTAACATCTAACATGAAGCAAACAAGGCTCTGTAGCCCACAGCTTCTAGATGAGTGCTGCTGCCCCCCTGCCTCCCTGCTCCCCTCCCTGCTTCTCGCTCCCCTCCCCGCTCCCCCTTTCTGTGTCTCTAGCTGTTGTCTCACTCTAGCCCCTGGCCCCCCCACCCCCGTCCTTCCACTCTCCCGGCTTCTGCCACCTAACTACACCAGGATTTTTAAATTGGTCAGCTGACACAAGTTTCTAAAAGTATTTTGTCTGTCTGTTAGGATAATGTGGCCACAGTATGTCTGTGTAAGTATATGGATTTATGTTTCTGTGTGCATGTGCGCTCATTTTAAGATAACTCCAGACTAAAACAGGCCTGGAAAAATACAGACACATGGGTAACCACCATTTTGACCCCACCACTGTCTTGGATAAGACTACTAACATGTGCTACTATTCTTTGAATTATTAAAATATCCCTTTTTAATCTTTCTACAGTTACTAGCATTGGTAAGCTGTAACTAATTGGATAAAACATACCTCTAAATTTAGCTCATATGCCCAGTTTAAAATAACGGGTTATGATATCAAATCCTCAAGTGCCTTTACAGATCTGAGAATATGGTATTTAACAAAAGATCTTCTAACACAAAGACGGTGCCAGCTTCTGCAGCACCCTTCAACTCCTCCAAGAAGATACAGGGTTGCTAAGGACATTTTGCCTCCAGGCTTGCCTTTGGGTTTGGCAAAGCCACCCACACAGCATAAAGCAGTCTTTCACCTCTTAAGTTTTCTGTATACCACCCAGGGAATTGATCTTCTTATCCTTCTGAGATAGGTAGACTAAATCTTTCCCCCCTCACAGAAAAATCTTTGGGCCTCTTACACTCAGCAGCTAACGGCAAGCACTGCTTCTAAGGCTGGTGTTCTCCAAGAACTGGGAAGACACTTGGGATTGCCTGCGTAGCTAAAAAAGCTGTCTCATTTTGACTCATTTATCCCTCCCAAATCTGTCTAATGGCATTTGATGGCTTAAGGTACTGGTAGCTCATTGCTTCATTTGTTAAGTCTCCTGCAAAAATACAAACAGGTGTGTCTCTTTAACAGGCTTCATAGTCCAGGATTAACAGGTTTTAGGTATATCTTAAAAAATCCAAAGTTCCCAACTCGCTTTAATTGTCTGTCTAGTGGCATTTGATAACTAAAGGTACTGGTAGCTCATTACTTTATTTGTTAAGTTTCCTGCCAAAATACAGAGAGGTGTGCCTCTTTAACAGGCTTCATAGTCCAGTACTAACAGGTTTCAGGTATATCCTAAAAATCTAGAGTTTCCAATTCCCTTTAATTGTCTTTTAAATCCTTTCCAGTTCTCTTATAGATACCTACAAGTTTCTGGAAAAATTCTGCTGCTGTATCAAAAATCAGGTCTGATTTAAAAAAAACTAACGGTCTACAGAGCATGTTTTAACCTCTCCCATTTTCAAGCATATTTTACAGGTCACTCCTGCTGTCTAGGCTGAGACCAACTTACAAAGCGCTTTCCTGCCAACGCCAAACACCTGCACCAGCTCCTGGAACTTC